AATGAGAGAAAAATGTCAAGGTGCTTTGAAACCTATAAAGTGCCAAGCACATGTAAATTACTGTTATTATTCTTATTATCTATGACTCTTCTGGTCAGAATCCATCATTTCTGCCTACATTCCTTGACAAAGTACACACAAAATCTGAAATCATCATCCGCCTCCTTCCTGCAATTACAGTGCTGATTTTATTCTGCCTGGTGTCAAGCTGTGTCCATATTTATGTTCCTATTAGGCCTGTGTGCATCCTGAAGGCAAGGATTATGTCTACTTCCCTTTACATTTCCTCACAGCCCTTTAAGAGCCTTACTTGAATTTATGTTACCTACTCATGCCAAAAACTAATGACACTATATAAGGGGTACTTAGTGTTTAAAAAAATAATGAGGATGATTCCTGAGTCTTGGTCTTTGACTGCTAAAAAGAGGAAATTTAACTGAGGAGAAATGAAGAAAGACCCTAATTTACTCCATTCTCACACACTGGAGCTTGCCCTTTCCACTGGGTCTCTACTAGTGGCTTCTCCTCACTTTCTGGGCATACGCTGAGACTGCCACCCACCAGGTTAAAAAACACTAGCCCACTAGCTTGTGAATGTTTGTAAAAGGAGGACTGTTTCTAATTTATTTCCATATTTCTAGCATCTAACCCTGTCTTGGCCCAAAGCATACTCTCAATAAGTATTTGTTGAAGAAAAGAATGAATGAACATACACACAAATAAGCCTGCATGCACCTTATAGATTAGAATGTCTTCACACTGTTGGATCCTTGACATTTACTTCTTTGGAGGAGTGTAGGTTAGGAAAAGGAAAAAAAGAAGAGGGACTGGTATTTATTGAACACTTATGGTATGCTGGTCATAGGGCTAGACTCTACCTAGGCTTCGTCAGTTAATTTTGACTCTGTCACAGGTCCTGAAAGAAATGACTGTTAGGGGAAGAGGGTAAGGTTCTGCTCCATCAGAAAGGGTTGTTTCCAAAGCTAAGATAATTGAAAAAGAAACTTCTGTTTTATAAGGACAGTTGTCCTTTTTGAAGGCTGTTGAGTCACCCTCACGTTGGTTACAAAGAAGCCTAAGGGCTAAAGAAGATCATATGGGATGAGGGTCCTGAGAGAACAGTGGACCAGAGAAACACTGGGAACAGGCTAGTGACACTTTTTGGGCTTGTTTCCTCACTGGCAAAATGAAGGTATCAGCCTATGTTCTCTAAGATCTTTCACAGCTCTAGGACTTCATGCTATAGAGAATCTTTCCTGCTAAATACATCTCATAATTTTTAGAGAATGAAAGAAGAATAAGTAAATGCACAAGTAAAGAAGTGAACCATCCAGTTCTTTGTGAAACAGTTTTTCTACCATCTATGTGTGGCTCCACCTCTTGCCTGCAACCTCCATGAGGTGCACCATTACAGCTCCTGGTGGCTTAGGCATGTGCTTCTCATGTCTCTGGATCTTCTTTCTCAGGCTACTGCTTTCCAACCCTTCTCATTTATCACTTATAGGACCCATTGCTTGGGGGAGTCCGCAAAGATTCTTCCATGCCAGGAGAGTTCCTTTTAAAACTGGCCATCTCCTAACCTATTGGCCAACCTGGTTTCTGAATCTGTCTGTTAGGGTATGAATGATCCAATACCCAAGTTGGAAAAGGCCCTTGAATTGGGCCCCTGGGTGAAGAGAGTAGATGAGGCCTTCCTCCAAGAGCAATGTTCAAGCTAGGCTGAAGGGCAGAGAATAACAAAGCCCAGGCCCCATATCAAGCCCAGGCCCAAATGTATGCATTAGAGGACAATATGGAGCCAAGAGTTAGGTAAGAATCTTTCTCACTTTCTGGTTGTTCTCTGCCTTGTTTTTGGTGGTATTTATAGATCATAAGCTTTTATAGTAGGAACTATTTTCCCATGCTCCCCAAGAGAGCACCAACTCCACAAATGGTTATCCTGCATTTTAATTACATATTTGCACATTTACCCCAATTCTCACCCTCTTCTTGCTTCCCAATGTTTTGGGTTTTTGTTTGTTTATTTGTTAGGTTGGTTGGGTTTTTTTGTATTGCCTCAAGTTCCTGAGCTTAGAAAGTATTTGGTAGAGTTTAGCTAATTGAATAAACAAATCAACAAAATACAACCCCTTTAATCTTCTATTGTGGAGGAAGATCCTGAAAGGCAAAGAAGCTAATCTACCCCAGGTTATTTAGCCAATTACTGGTTAGGAGAGCCAACCAAACTAGATGAGAACACCAAGGATGAAGGGGATGTTGGCTATCTAGATTGCTCCTCACTTTTCCCAGCCACTTACTCCTGCCTAGATAAAAAAAATTCACTCTTCAGGCTTCAGGTTAGACACCTTTTCCTTCAGGAAGTCTTTCTTCCCTGTCGCCCCAGAATTTGGTAGGTGTCCTTCTTCTGCTCTCCCATAGTCCTCTATACTTTTGTCCCTGTGGTGGCATTTAGGCACTATGCTGCCATTGATTGTTTCAGTATGTCTCCCTCATCAAACTTTGAGCTCCTCAAGGACAGAGGGAAAGGAATGTATTCTAATACTGAACTCTCACTCACCACTAGGTAAAATGCCTGGCACACTGCAGGAGACCAGGAAGTATTTTTGGAAGACTAAAATGCAGGGGAAGGATGTAAAAAAGGAAGAAAGAAAGAAGGTTCAAAAAGCCATAGAGTTAGGAAGTAGAGAAGTTGGGATTTGAATCCAGGCCAGCCTGGTTCCAATGACTACTCTTTCCACAAAAACACTCAGCCTCCTCTTATGGGTAGAGACTGTTTTATCATTAACACCTTTGTGGATTTGTCTTAGAACTTGGCACATTACCATTCTCCAATTAACAAGAATTAATTTATAGACTTTAAGATTTCACAGGTTGGAGACAATGGGTGTGATTTCCAGGGTGCCTACTGCACAGAGAGCAAAGGGTACTGTACCTGGCTTGAGTCCACTCACTGTGATGACAACCATGACACAGGTGAGAGAAGAGCTAGCCACTGGCCCTCACTATGGCATTTGAGGCCTGTGGGATGGGAGAGCCTAGAAGGTCAAGATACTGAAACTATGGATGTGGTCAAGTTTTTCTAAGTGTTTTAAGATGAAAAGAGGCATATACTGATACAAAACACAGAGTGTCTTACGGCCCGAGGTCAGGAGTAGTTTCTTGAGTTGAAACTCAGTTCATGGACATGCAAAACAGGTAGTTTCTGGGGAAGTTAAATTAATGGTGTGGAGTGTTTTTGCTGTTAGTGTGCTTCCCCTCCCTAAGAAGTTCACAAAGCACAGAGCAACCTCAGCATGATAAAAATAAAAATTATTCACTTGATGGTCAAGAGCATTTCTCTCCCTGAAAATTTCAGTTCTCTTTCCATCCTCCACTCCAACACTAACATGGCTTTAAAATTTTTGCATTTTTGGTTCCTTTTTGAAATTTTACCTGAATGGAGAACTCACAAAACTTCTGAAGTTGCAAACTACATACAACCTTTAGTGTCACTGTGAACCTGTATAGACTATGATTTGAGGCCATGGCCAAGGGGAAGACAGAATTGGGGAGTGGGAAAATTACCAGCCCATGAACCAAGTGATGTGGTGTTCCTCTGTGACAATGGAGGGAAAAGGACTCCTTAGTAGACTCCTTGATCTTTTGAGACACTATCTAGGGCATGAACTTTTAAGAAGTAAAAGGCACCTGCAAATCTAAGTAAGGTGAGATGAAAGCACATTTATCTAAACAAATCAAAAGGGGATAGACCTTTGCACATAAATGTATTATCTAGATAACAGAAGCCTTCCTTCTTGAGTGAAGTATTTGATTTAAATTTTGGAGACAAGTACCTGTGTTTCTAGCCTAGATTACTCCCCTTTGACTGATAAAGGGTGAACTATTATCCTCAATTTTCATGGAGGCTGTGAACTTGTGGTGAAGAGGTCTCCTCAATTCTGAACATCTCTGCCTTTCGCAGGGCTGAATTCTTATGTTTTGTAGGAGATTTTCTGTCATTGCTCCTTATTGACAAGGCTGCTACCTTTCAGATTTCCCCTCATTCCTGCTTCTAAACCACTTTAGTCAAGAAAACATAAAAGCCTGGTTAAAATCAGGTGTAATATAAGAGCCTATTAAATTTTTCTATGAGCAAACCAAAGGAGTTTTATATATCTTTACAATGATCTCCTCCCCAAGCTATGTTCCTCCCTGCTCAAAAGTTGTTGTTAGTTTTTTGTTTGTTTGTTTGGTTTCCTGGTAGAATTAAACCTAGGGCCTCGCATATGCTAGGCAAACATTCTATCATACCCTCTAGCCCCCAAAAGGTTTTTAATACTTTCCATTCCTGCCCACATAAATCCTGATTTCCCAAGTTGGTACAGTTTTCATGAACTTCTATCATCTGCCTTTAAAGCAAATTTGTGGTATCCTTCTCAGTTCGCTTCAGGTGTCTTCCCGTACTTATGAGTGCTGCCCTTCGCTTCCTCAGGTGCCTTGAAATACTGCCATCCTTCGAGGCCCAGCTCCTTCCTGAAGTCTCCCTCAAACCTTCAGTTATAGATAACCTGTACATGTTCTGAATGCTTGGATCATCTTAATGGCTTCCCTCCTGTGGCATTTACCACTTTCTGATTTGCGGCAATACAGGTTTTCTGAATCATGTCCAGTTCTTTTTATTGTCCTGAGATACCTTTGGAGAGGTAACCTACACTCCCTGGTGCTGACTCTTTCTGAATGAAAGCATAAAAGAGCAGAAACAAGTATTTGGCCAGCTCTTGTTCTCTGAGCCACATTTACCAAGGTTCCCATCACAATCTACTGGATGCTCATCTATGAGCTCCTATCAGATTCACTAGGACAGGAGAGCAGCTCTTCCTTGGAGTAACTGCTAAGCCAATTCTCTGTCCTTCCCTAGACTCGAAGGCACTTGCTGCTTCTCCCCCTAGCCCTCCATGAAGGGGAATTACACAAATACCTCCACCCATGTGGAGTGGCAGGTGGCATGCTGGAGCACTCACCGCTGCCAAGCCTAAGGAGCAGCACATCCTGGAGTCTCCGGTTGAGGTCACGGAGCTCCTTCATCTCAGACACGAGCGCCCCATACTCCTTGAGCTTCTTGGCCTGCTGCACCAGCTGCCTCCGAGTCCGCTCCAGCTCCTGCTGGAGGTGGCGCATCTCCTCCTGCTGCTGCTGGTAGTTGCGCAGCAGCTCCTCGTACAAAGCCCGGGGCACAACAGCGTCCTCTAGACTGTCCATGTCCTCTGTGCCTGGTGAGGCCTCCACGAAGACCTCTTCCGGACAAGTGCTGTGGCCCAGGCTCAGGCCGTTCTGCTTCTCTAGCCGGGCCACCACTGCTTCGATGCTCTTGTGCGCCACTTCGCTTGGCTTCCGCCCCTCAGGTCTCTGTGTAGGACAACGAGAATCAGTTCAGGCAAGGGCAGCTGGGACTTTCTTGGTCTGCAGCTCAATATTTCCCCAGACAATCCTAGAATCACAGAACCACAGAACATCAGTGCTTGGAGAAACCTGTATAAACACTTTGTAAAAGCCTTTCATTTTACAAATGGAGGAACAGAGGTCCAGAGTGTGAAAGGGGTTTGCCCAAATCCGTTGCTGGCAGAACCAGGACTCAGGTTTTCCAGCTCTACCACTCTATCTCTTGAGTGCATATATCATGGCCACCCTTCCAAATTCCCCAGTCCCCTATTCCCATACTGCCTGAGTAGTCAATTGTTCATGGGGTTGCCCAAGATTTATTTGCAGAGAATCAAAGAGAAATCAGAACAGCCTAAGCCCTCCCAGGGGGGTCCTACTCAAATCTCTTCAACAACAAAAATATTACATTAAAAAAAAAGGCATTCCATCATGTAACCTTTTAAAAAATGTTTTAGTTGGGAGGGATGTTAAAAACTGTGATCCACTCTAATCCAGGGCAATGAACACGTCTTATTTTCTTCTGGTTCTCCACTGCCTACTCACTCAGACCTGGCACTTGGCAAGAGTTTGATAAATGTTTACTAGACTGAAAGCTTCAAAGAATGCTAGCATTGGAAGGTACTTTCAGTTTCTCTCAATTTACAGGTAAAGAAACTGAGGCCCAGAGAGGGAAAGGACCATACTCAGGAGCACATTGTGAGTTATATACACCATGAGTCAGATCAGAATCTGGAACCCAGCTTTCAGCACCCAGTTCCTTCCCCCACATCTGCTACCCAGCCTCTCCTTCAGCAAGATGATGCACACAGAGAAGAAAGTTCAATAGAAGAGAATTACCCCAAAATACCCAGGGGCTAGGGATTTAGCTGCCCAAGGAAATTTTAACTCAAGTGTTTAAAAAACTTCCACTGAGGCTGGCAGGAGTTATAGGATCAACTGAATTCTTCATCTGGGGCTGGAGGGCTAGGAACTCTCCTGAGGGCACTTGTGGGAGATACAGACAACTGAGGATACAATATTCTGGACAACTTAACTATGTCAGGTTAGGCCTGCCTTAACCTTTCACTAAATTTCAAGAATCTAAAGAAAAACAAAACCATGACTCTAAGATTGAGTAAGATGACAAAATCCTATGTTGTTTTATCTGCTGGGATAAAGTGCTCCTAGTATAGATGAATTTATTGGCTAAAATTATAATGATCACTAGACATCTATCTGCATCACCATGCTGTGAGACCCCTGGACACAGGGACCACATCTGGCTAATTTCCATGACCCAAGGAACCACCACTGGACAAGACCCATAGCAGGAGTGCAATGAATGTCATGGCCATGCATTGAATTCAAATGCATCTTTTGGACTATGCCTTTGGAACATCCTTGACTTTGTGTCCCAAACAAGATAATGGTCAAGGCAGAAGTCATCATTCTTCCTTCTCTTCCCTCTCTCTTCCTCTGGGATACCACTGGATGGGAAGAAAAATGTCTAGCTTGCTGAATAATTACTTCCAACAGGTTTTCAAAGTGAAGGCTGAAGGAACCAACTGGGGCACACAGCAAGGAAATGCAAACTCCATCCAATCCAGAGGCCCACAGATGCCCACTGTGAACCTCACTTCTATTCCCAGTGAGTCCACTCTTAGCGATTTAGGCAATCTGATACTGACTGTTTCTAAACTACTGCCTAAGACCAATATCTGCTTCATGTTCCTGGAGCTCAGCAGTGACTTCTCCAGAGTGGTAGGCCAGGGACAAACACATCGTTCCAAACCCCCAGCAGAGATAACACTGCATAGACTATGCAGTGCTTGGTGGAACAACATAAATAAGGGCTTTCCTGGAAAGTAGGTCTACAAGGCAAATGGACACTTGCTGTACTCAAATCTCTTCTTCCACTCTGAAAAAATCATGGCCTATGACACCAGGGGACATTTATATGGGGAAGGAGGCCAAACTGGCTGTGAGAAATATGAAAATGCTCCCACATACTTCCAAGAAAAGCAAACATTTTGTTACCTTGATGTGTCTAAGCTGTAAATCTTCTTCCCCATAATCTTTAACCTCCCCATCTTCTTCTATGTGACTGAGAGAAAGTTTGGGGATTTTTATTTTCTTCTGCATCACACTGTTTTCAAGGTCAGATTTGTCTTCTAAAATGCATATCAAGAGAACAAAGTTGGTTATGAGTCAAAATGCTCAAAAAGCCCAAAACCTCAAATTCTAGAAAATAATTAAGGCCAGACCAGTTAAAAAGGAAAAGCAAACAACCCAAGGCCTATTCTGTCCTGCATTCAAGGATCTTAAAAGCAGCAGAGCAGGACTGCCTCTAGAATCAAGGGTGTTTGCTAAAAGCACTGTCACACAAAGTCTTGAAATGGCATCCAATGAATCTGCTTAGGGGTTTCTCCCAGTTCATCTTAAAGGGAAGCTTTTTATGAAATTCTAGAATCTTGGAACTGCAATGGACCCTACATTGTCATCTGGTCTGAACTTAAGTGGCACATGAATCCCTCAGTAACTGAGATCTTTCTAAGCCAAGAATCTTCCTAGCAAAATGTAGTGGGTTTCTGGGATGATAGCTCTTCTGAAGGAAAGGCCTGTGCTAGAAAGGCATGGAGCTCTCCACAACCTGACCCAAAATAGGCCAGGGAAAGTCAGATAAGGAAAGAGCAATGAGTAACATTTATCACCTTCTTGACAGTATCAAATCATAGAATGATGAAATATGATGGACCTCAATGACCAACTGGTCCAACTCTCTGATTTCACAGATGAGGAAACTCAAACCCAGAAAATGGGAGAGGCTTGCCCAAGGCATGAGTCAGAGGAAGAGTCAGAGTGGGAAACAGGCCTCTGGCATCTTGCCAGTGCTTCAATATGCTCAAAACATATACTGAAGTGTGCCCTAAACTCTAAAATGCTACACAAATACAAAGGGATGTTTTTGGTCCTCACTTTCTCATTGTGTAAGCTCAACTTCAGAGAACTTAAGAGAGTTTTGTTTTAATTCGTTTCTGCACAGATTTCAAACTGTACTCCTCAGATCTCTCACTAGAGATGTCAAAAGTAAAAGTTCTAACAGGTGGGCTCCAGGGGTAGAAATTTGAGCCCACTCTGGAAATGGCTTCTTGTGGCAAAACAGTCTGTGTTCTGAGATTGACTTGAGGCTTTGGGGATTTCTGTTTCTTATACAAAGGATGCCACTCTGTATCTTCAGTGTATTCTCTAGCATGCTGCCCAATGTATGGCCAGGAGCTGATTAAATCCAGTATCCAAGGGTTTTAATGTATGAGCATGAGGGTGTGTGAATATGAAGGTATGTGTGTGTGTGTGTGTACATATGTGTATGTGTTAAACATGCTCTCACACCTCTCCCAGGCCAGGCATCTCTCCTGACAACTTGTTAGTAAAGCTGAGAAGGAGGCTTATAAATGAGTAACTATTTCAGAATGTACATAAGTGCTAAATCTTTCCAGCTGATCAGAAGTGGGTCTCTAGTATCAGAAAGACCTGGGTGGGCCCCTAAGCTCTCCCCTGACAGGGGTAGGAGAGATGAGCAAGGCCTCAAACTTGCTGAGCTCAGGCTTTTCCTCTGCAACAAGAGTTGTGGAGATGAGAGCAATAAGTCACACTACTCTTAAAACTCTGCCTGGCACACTGGACACTCAGTGAATGGGACATGCTTGATATTACTGATATGCTTGAATCATATTCCTGCGAGCATAAGGTGGGTAAAGATTTAATTTTTAAAAAGAAAAGACTTAAGCAGGGTATGGGGTACAAAGGAAATGCCCAGGAAAAAGAAGTGGTCTTGGTTAACAACCCCATAGTGATATAAAAAGCCTTTCCTGATGGCCAAGACATAATCTTTGGTTGGGGTTCTGTTTTTACAAGAATGATCTTCATGCCTATAAAACACATCCAATGGGTTGTTCATTGTCACCCAATGAACAACAATGGGGACTTGAGTATTTCTAAAAGACAATAGTTTCTCTCTTACAAATCACTATTGACTCTTCCTATGACAAAAAGCTGCTAAAATGTAAAACCCAAAGAAAGTGTTTCAAATGAAACTATCCTGGCATGGGGTGTGAGTACACTGCACATATATACACATGTGGAGAGAGAAGAAGGGGGGAAAGGGAAAGGGAGATACAGCAGAAGGAAAGAGAGGGAGAAAGAGATGGAGAAGAGATGGAAAGAGAGAGAGAAGATGAGATAGTAGGATTTCTGGAGATGGTGCTATTAGGACATCTGATAGTGTTTTGGGGCAAGGCTCCTCAGTTAGTCTTCAGTTTGACAATTTCAAGGGAAAAAGTAGAAATGATAGTATGTTCTTTAGTCTCCCTGAGCTGAAACTGTGTAGCTCAGGCTCATGCTGGGCGTGAGGTCTGTATGGACAGAAGCAGTCATTCAGACTCATAAAACCAGGTACTGTTTGAATGGAGAATGATTGTCAGATCACTTCATTCAATCCTTTCAAAATGCAGATGAGGAAATGAGGTTCCATATGGAGAAGTCTGCACCTCCACCCTTGCAGCAATCAGCCTCAGGGATAAAGGAGGAGCAAAAGAGACAGGGTCTCTAACCTGTAGAACTTACCATTGTGCAAAGTTACAGAGGTCAGTGTCATAACAGAAACATACAAGAACCCCTAGTATCTTACCCAGGTCCAGAGCTTTTCCTCTTATGTGTCACCAGCCTAACATTTATTAAGAATTTACACCCTGCAAAGTTGATGCTGGGCCCTGGGGACACAGATGGGGATATAAAATAAAAGCCCATGAGAAAATAACCCAATATCTCCAATACTAAGTTGAATCTAGAGGAATACTGCTACAGGATTCCAGGACAAGAGAGATCACTTCAGCCAAGGTAACCATGGAAGGCTTTTGAGAGGAGATGGCATTTGAGCTAGCCTCTTTACTTGCTGGAAAATCATGGTTAAGTTACTTTACTTTGAGCCTATTTTCTCATCTGTGACTTGAAGTAAATAATTGCTTCTCACATTGCCAGAATGCTGTGAAGATGATCAATTTTGTATGTTAAGAACTTGAGCAGAATGAATGCACAGTTGGTGCACATAAGAGGACAACCATTTAAGGACAGTAAAGTGTGGGCCACACAAGATGGGGGAAGAATTGAAACCATAAAAGAAAAGTTGGGAAGATATTTATACTGATCTATAAAAGATGATTCAAGGGCTGGTGGAGTGGCTCAAGTAGTAGAGCACTTGCCTAGCAAGTGTGAGGCCCTGAGTTCAAACCCTAGTACCACCCCCACCACCCCCAAAAAAGATGGTTCAGTTATAAGCAGGAGACAGAGAGGCAAGAAAGGGAGGTAAGGTGGTTGAGTCTAGAGAATAAATAACCTTGAATGTCAAGTTAAGAAGAACTCAGGTTCCGTCTGTAAGTGTGGGGAAAACTAGGAGCCACACAACCTGGATTCCAAGTCTAATCCTGAAACTGTAGGCTTGAGAAGTCAAGCAAGTTGCTCTCTCCTTGTGTGTCATTTTCTGTAACTGTAGAAATGGGGATATCACATTTACCTCAGGTGGGGATCAAATCAGCTCATTGAACATTTCTTGAAAACAATAGAGCCCTGGACAGACAAACACACGGTAGATGACATAGTTCAGCAGGCATCACCTGCTTGTTGCTTGAGGTAGAGACCTGCCTAGCAACTGGTTTGGGGTGGGTGACAGTTAGGAGTGCTTTACTCTTCACTTGATGACAGACAGGTGATGACAGGAAGCCATCCCAGATACCATGTTCTTCCGTCTACCTGGAATGTTCTCTTCCTTTCTTGTCTGCTTGACAAATTGCTCAGCCTCCACTCATCTTTTCATTCTTCCTCAAAGGTCCCATCCTACACTGTACTTTATTTATAGTCTATTATCTTAACTATACTGCAATTATCTGCTTAGAAGTTTCCCTTCCACAGGAGTGTGAGTAGCCTCACATGGACCCATATTATAGGCCCAGTCACACTACAGGGATTCATTAAACAAAAATACCTAATGAAAAAATAATAAAACAGGCTCGCCAATAAGCACACGAAAAGATGCTTAACATCATTAGTCATTAGGGCAATGTAAATCAAAACTACAATGAGATACCATTTTAGATGATAGGCTATATTATTGGGGAGGCTACAATTGGAGAAAATGAGAGAGGTAGAGAAGAGGAAACGAGTGTTGGGGATGATGTAGCAAAACTGGAACCCTCATGTACTCTTGGTGGGAATGTAAAATGAGGCAGCCACTGTGGAAAACAATTTGGCATTTGCTTAAAAATTTAAACACAGAATTATCATTTGACCTAAAAATTCCATTCCTAGGAGAATACTCAAGAGAAATGAAAACAGATGGCCACAAAGAAACTTGTACCTGAATGTTCATAGCAGCATTATTCATACCAGCCAAAAAAGTAGAAACAACCCAAATGTCGATTGATTTATGAATGGATAAACAAAGTATGGTATATCTATACAACAGAATATTATTCAGCCATGAACAGAAATGACACCCTAATTCTTGCCACAATATGGGTGAATCTTGAAAAGTACTACACCAAGTAAAAGAAGTCAGACAAAAAAATGTGACTCATACAGAACAGGTAAATCCAAAGAAACAAAATGTAGATCAGTGATTGCCACGGGCAGAGGGAAGGGCACAATGAAATGGGAAGTGCTGCTTAATGGGGAACAGGAATTCTTTTTTGGATTATGAAAATTTTCTGAAAATAGAGAGTGGTGATAGTTATAGAGACTGCATATAAACTAAGAAACACTGAATGGTACAAACTTTAAAAATGATTAAAATAGTGAATTGTATTTTATATAAAAAATACTTCAACTGGGCTGGAGGTATGGCTCACATGGTATAGTGCCTGCCTACAAGCATGAAATCTTGAGTTCAAACCCCAGTATAAAACATTTCGATTTTGCTGGGCATGGTCAGGAGGATCACAGTTCAAGGCCACTGTAGTCAAAAAGTGCTTGAGACCTCATCTCAACCCATGAAAAGCTGGGCATAGTGACATGTACCTGTCATTCCATCTATGTGAGAAGCACAAAATGGGGGTCATGGTCCAGGCCAGCCTGGGCATAAAAGCAAAACACTATTTGAACAAATAACTAAAGCAAAAAG